TTACATCAATAAATATATAGTATGAATAGGTATAATTTTTTAATCATGATAATAATATGAGGTTATTACGAGGATACTGCAAAGTAAACATGAAGACAGTACAGCCGGAGTATCGGCCGACACGCTGATGTTGATGCGGTTGTGTACTGTCTGAGTGCATACATCTTTTCCTCCCAGGAATACATCATGGGAATGTTAAAATCCAAAAAGTTTAGAAAAGAATCAGCGAACTTCTTTGTGTGGAGTCCTGTCAAACCCTGGTGGCAGCCATGTTTGTTTTTAGTATTAGAAGATGCTTACATGCATAATCATTCCATATTTGGAATTCGCATTTCCTAATATGGTAAGATGAAAATACCCTGTATAATACCGCAAAATTACGGCACGCTGTAACTTATATCGTTACCGTGACAGATGTATAATAATAACATAATAACTGAATATCATAAATTATTTAACGTTTTGTTAAATCATAAAGAGATAATTTATAATTCGTTTCTTTTCATATATATATATAATATGAAAAGGTACGAGTTCCTTCGAGTCTCCTTATCTATAACTAACTAATACGGCAAATGTTTGTACCTATCAGAGGTTAAAATTAAGGCCTTTCTACCTGTCCCAGATAGGACAGGTAAATAAATAAATTGCCTATCCCTGTGGACAGGTGAATAAAGATATCAAATTTTTACTAACTGACCAAATGGGGGTAGTCCTATGTTGTTAATATATAACAAAAAATTATAAAAAAAAAAATGATTTTGTGAAACTTATGAAATGAGGATGAGCCAAGAACTGATATTTTATTTCCATTAATATGTGGTAATTTATTTTTCTAGTGACAGGTACATCATTAATTGGAACAGGCACTTTCATTCTTGAATCTGTCCAATAGACAAGTAATTTAAATTTTTAATTTTAACCTCTGGATATATTAAAATAAAAAAGCATTACTGGTTACTGTAAAATATGTACTTGTCAAGGTGTTAAAAGCTGTTCAAATTGTATATTGTTATTTTACACAGCATGGTGGCATTTATATTTGCATGAATAGTATTTGTAGTTTCACTATGAGGCCTAATCAGTGGCTTCACAGTGTGACAAAGCTATGCTACCTGTCAAATAAACAATTTATTTCGCTGTTCTTGCCGTTCTTGACACGAACAATGTAATTACAACTAGAAAATTTCCTTTATACACTAGTACAGTACACTGTGTACAAAGTCTCCAAAGCTAATAACACTCTAGAGAGTGCGATTTAAAAATGAGTACCGTAAAATCTGTATTAGAAGCCGCATCTCTAATAGAAGTCGCACCCATTCTTTTCGAACAATTGAGAAGCAAAAATTCACCATTTCTCATATGTGTAGAGATGCTCTAATAGAAGCGGCATCCCCTCTGTTGCATTGTACCATTTTAATAGAAGCCGCAGCTTCTAATACAGATTTTACAGTAAATGTTTTAAACAAAAAACAATGTGTTGCTAATTTATTATGCTTGACCGGTTGGTGAAAAGTGATGAATTAATTGAATATAAATGTATTTAATCATGCTTGTACAATCATAGACCTTAGAAAGAGTCTAAGGTCAATGGTACAATTAAGGGAGATAAAACACAGTGTAACTGTCTCACTTCTCTTAAAATATTGTCTGAGTTAAGAGCACGAGTGCAGTTTGAAATATGTCCATGGACAGTGTCACCAACAGGTGTACTGGCAAGTCTCACTAAATTACAATCAAGTAATTTGACCTTGAGTGACTTTTTCTGAAAATAGGAAAATGTTTTTCTCTTTTTTTCTTTTCTATTTGCATCTAAGATTAATTAAATGATTAAATAATTTAAAAAATATTTTCAAATTATTTGTTTTTGCATGATAACCTCATTTAAACTAGATTCTTGAATATACGCCCCCTGAGTAGTCTTATGCTTCTGACCGTCGCATCTCAATCATAATAATTCCAGGACTGATCAGTAGTATCTATACACGTTTTCTTATTTGATACGAGTTGTACAAATACATTTAAATTATTGACACAACAAATGCATCCGTTTTATTTTTACAAATATTTATATATTTAAAAAAAGAGGTTTCTTTTGGCCGATTGTGTATCAATGGAACGTTTTTAAATGATGTTATTGCGCCCTTTGATTGGATTAACTGCCATTGAAATTTATTAATATTTATAAAAATGCCGTAAATAGTATGTATTGTTGTGTCGATAGTATCAATATATTTATATTGATATATATCAGGTAGAAAGAACTCAACTCATAATTTGTGAGAAAATTGGTCTTAAATCACATGACAGTGTTTATTGGTTTATTATGTACAATCATGAAACTATTGTCTCATTGCACCATGAAATAGCATTCTTTTGTGTGTTACAGTGACGTGTTTTGAGAAACTCTTCCGAATATTTCTCAAAAAACTTTGTTTTTAGAACAATTCCATAGAGCACAATGTAAAATTGCATTTTTGATACATTCTTAAAACCCGGATTTTTGAAATAATTAAGAGCAACAAAAAGCACCCCATTATTCACACAATATATGATTGTTTCAGTCTACGTCACCAGGCTACAATATGAGATATGGCATAATATCTCTGCCATAGGAACCCATGATAAAAGCACTATAATACTGCCAAAATAGCCACTATCCACTAAAATATAACCATTTTCTTGAAAATAAAGCTGGCGACTCCAATTTGTTTTTAAGTCAATATCTTTAAATTCCCAGGAAGTACAATTTATTGGAAAATGAATAAATTGTGTGTATTTGAAATAATTAGTAGGCTTCCATAAAATGATCCCCTTAATGTCTGTTACACTATGGTGTTATCTTACGCTGTTGTTTACAAAATCCAGATA